CACGGCCCGCTCGCTGCAGCCACGCCCCGCTCGCCGCAGTCACGCCCAACCACGCCCCGCTGCAGCCACGCCCACCCCCCGGCGGGACCCGGCAGTCTCGCTCCATCCAGTCAAAGCCCCGCCCAGCGGAAGACCCGCCCATCCGGACGGGGTGGAGGGGCCCGCCGTGGAGGCGCTAGCGGGGCTCCACCCCGCGCTCTTCGGTAAGACTCTTCCCTTTCCTTGCCTCAGCTTCCTCATCTTCAAAATGGGGTTGCAGTACCTACTTTCTCACGTTGGTCGGACAGGATTTGACACCAGGAAGATTCTGAGTAAATGAAAGCTGTCCCCACTTCCCTAGGCCAGCAGTGATGTACTCATGGCCTGGCCTAAAGATGAAGACGCCCCCCCTCAGCGGTGCTCCCAGTTACAACGAAGAGACACGGCCTGTTTTGTGTGGTTCTGAGAAAGACCCCTGCCCTTTGGGTCTGAGGAGGAAGATGTTTCAGGTCTCCTAAATCCCTTTTCAGGACACTCCATGGTCCTCTACTTGGACACCTCTATAGACAGGGAACCCGATTACCTTTCCAGGACGCCCTTACCTTTTGGACAATTCTAGTTAAAAATTCTTCCTCAAAAACAAAAAATAAATTTTTAAAAAATTTTTTTGATTTTTCTTCAGGCTAAAAGAGAAATCTGCTTCGGAGACAGACCAATAACTTCTGCAGGGGGTCGGGAGACAAGGCGTTTCCGTTTTTCTGTCTCTCGGGAGTCAGACTAACATAGGTTCAAATTCCAGCTCCTTTCATTTTGATTTTCTGAGCCTCCGTTTCCTCATCTGTAAAATAGAGGGAAAAGTATTTTCTTAGCTGGTTGTGAGGATTAAATGAGATGATATAGGTATTGTGCAAAATGCTTTATTTAGTTTGTCACTATAAAAGTAACAGAAGACTTCTAATCAGAGGTAATAAAAGTTTAAAGTAAAAGGAAAAATCCTAATTAAAGAATATTTGACAATTAAAAAGAGGGCATTTTTTTTTCCCCACCACCCAAATATACTTACTACTAACATTTTGCTGTGTTTCTTGCTTTTTTTTTTTTTTTTTTCCCCCTGACATTGGGGTTAGAAGGCTGTGCTCTAACCAATTTAGCTAACGGGGCAGCCCCTGCTGTGTTTCTTTATTCTGTCTGTGTATTTCTTTCAATTTGTTACTTACAGTAAAGTTGCAAAAGTAGCAGATCTCCCATGTGTCACCTAGTTTCAGATTCTCTTTTGTTACCACCTCATATTACCATGGTGCATTTGTCAAAACTAAGAAAACAACATTGGTACATTACTATAACTAAACTGCAGACTTTATTTAGATTGTTTTTCCATTAATGTCTTTCTTCTGTTCCAGAATCCCATCCAGGAGACCATACTGCATTTAGTCATCCCATCTATCTGTGAACATTTATGACCTTGACAGTCTTCAGGAGTATTGGACAGGTATTTTGTAGCATGTCCCTCAGTTTGGGGTTGTCTGATGACCAGAGTAGGATTATGGGATCTTAGGGGATAATACTACAAAGCAGAGGTGACCTTCTCATGACATCATAGCAGGTAGCACATGACATAGCCACATGACATCACCGATGGTGTTAACCTTGATTGCTTGGTTAAGCTGGTACTCCCAGGTTTCTTCACAGTAAAGTTGCTACTTTCCCCTTTCATACTCTATTCTTTGGAAACAAGTCACTAAGTCCAGCTCACCTTCAGGGGGAACTAAGCTCAACTTCCTGAAGTGGGGAGGATCTAAATCAATTATTTGGAATTCTTTTGCAGGGAAGATTTGTGTCCTCTCCCCCATTTATTTATTTATTATTTATTTATTCATTCATTCAATTATTTATTTATATCAGAATGGACTCATGTATATTTATTTTATACTTTGACTTATCATCTAATATAATCTACTACTATTTTGTTGCTCAGATTGTTCCTGCTTTGGGAGTTTCTTCAGGTTGGCTCCTGAGTCCCTGTGACATGCCCCCATATTTTGTTTCCTGAGCACTTCCTTATTATCTGGCCCTACAAGATGCTCCAGGTTCGTCTTGTATTTTCCCTGCCCCAGCCCTAGACTCCACCATTTCTCCCAGGAGCCTTCATCCCTTTTATTGGAGAATGGTGTTTAGAAACCAAGATCTGGGTACTGGGAGTGCTCCTTGCCAGGGGGTTGCCTATTATTTTTGTTTGTTTTTTCTTTCCTTGCATAAACATTTACAGACACATTTGCTAATCCCATGACCCAGCTGAAATCAGGCCCACTCCTGCCCTTCAAGGAGAAGCTCCTTGGTGATAATGTTCAACAGAAAATTTCAAACCCCCCTACTGTGGATTGAATGTCCCCCCAAACCTCACTGAAGCTTGATCCCCATTACAACAGTGTGAGGAGCATGGGAAATCTGATAATCTGATTATGGTATTTGAAAAGTGGGGCCTTTAAGAGGTAATTAGATTGCAAGGACTGTGCCCTTGTGAATGGATGGATCCATTCATGGAGTAATGGGTGTGGTTTTTATGGCTTTATAAGGAGAGTGAGTAAGAAGGTTAGTTCTTTTGCTTTTGTCATATTCTCGTGATGTGACACCTTGTGTTGCTGTAGAGAGTCACCACCAAGAGGAAGGCCCTCACCAGATGTGTTCCATGGACCTTCAACTTCCCAACCTCCAAAACTGTAAGAAATAACTTTCATTTCTTTGTAAATTACCAAGTTTCAGGAATTCTGTTATAAGCAACAGAAACAGACTAATACATTCCCTTTCATCTTGCCTTTATCTTGTGAGCATTTTCCCAGCTTCTAGAAAGTGTAATTTTTCCTGGCACAGAAGTGGGCTTACCAAAATTACCAGACAACAGCCTACTCTGACATGTGACATTAAAACCATTTTCTTGTCATTATAATTTGTATTTATATATTTATTTGTGTGATTATTTGTGTAATGTCTCCTCATCAATTAGACAGTTGGCTCTGTGGGCAGAGATCAAGGTACACTCGTTCCTTGCCCCTCAGTGTGTCTCCAGCATATTGCACAGGGGCTTGCACATAGTAGGGCACATAGTAAAACTGGTGCTGTTGATGACTGACTGAATGAATACTTACTTGGGATAGATTCTTGAAGTGGAATTTCTGGGTCAAAGGGGATGCTTATTATAGCCCCTACGGGTATATTTCAGTCATGATGAAAGGCTGCTGAACCTCTCCTGGACCCAACAAAATAAGGAAGGAGAAGGACATTTGCAAGAGCTGAGAGGAGGGACACAGAGGAATGCAAGAGGCCCTGGGCCCAGAAGGAATGTTGCTAAACAGAAGTGATGGGGCAGAGGGGGCATTTCTATGTTTCCAGCATCACCAGCAGGTGTGATTCACTGAGCACCTACTCTGAGCAGGCCCTGTACAGCCATTCACTCACTTAACCCTCCCTACAAACAAGCAAGGCAAATATTACTATCCCCAATTCACAGATGAGGAAACTGAGGTTCAGTAAAGTGAAGGGCCATGCAAGGTAAAGATGCTACGAGTTTAACCCAGCTTGGCTGGATTTCGCCTGTAGGCCAGAGAAAATGGCAGTTCTTCATCCCTTTCCACGTGTTTGAGCAGACCATGTAAGCCTGACGAATTTGTGCTCAGCCCAGTTTTTGCCTAGAACTGCAATAGAGGATGAAGAATAAAAAGATGGGCTCATATCCTGGCTCTGTCATCAGGCCCTGTACAGCCATTCACTCACTTAACCCTCCCTACAAACAAGCAAGGCAAATATTACGATCCCCGATTCACAGATGAGGAAACTGAGATTCAGAAAAGTGAAGGGCCATGCAAGGTAAAGATGCTACGAGTTTAACCCAGCTTGGCTGGATTTCGCCTGCAGGCCAGAGAAAATGGCAGTTCTTCATCCCTTTCCACGTGTTTGAGCAGACCATGTAAGCCTGGCGAATTTGTGCTCAGCCCAGTTTTTGCCTAGAACTGCAATAGAAGATGAAGAATAAAAAGATGGGCTCATATCCTGGCTCTGTCACTTAGCTGTGTGACCTCGGGCAAGTTCCTTAACCTCCCTGAGCCTCAATCCCCTCTGGACAATGGGGCCTGACAGGAGCTGGGGGTGTTGGTGAAAATGATAGTGTCACACAGGCACATGGGCACATACCAAGTGCTCAATATCTACTATCATTACATTAATATTTCCCACAGGCCTTGTGTGCCTCCGACACATCTCGGAGAAGATGGCATCTCATTTGCATCTCTCCACTGCCTTCTTTCTGTTTTAGGAAACAAGACTGAGTGGGAAACTGTCTTCCTTGCGGTTGCACAGCATGTAAATAGAGGAACTCAAATTCCAGCCCAGGCCTGCAATCGTCACAGCCCAAGCCCTTTTCAGTTCCCCAGGCTGGGAGCACCTGGCTCCTCAAGAACTGAGTGGGATGCGGAAAGGGAAGCCCAGGTTCACACAGAGGTGGGGAAAGTAAGGTGGAAAGGAAGGCCCAGAGCAGAGAGGAGGATGCCTAAGACTACTGAGAACTGGAGTTTCTCATTTCCTCAGCCATCTCTGTCAGAGTTTTCAGAGTCTGAAGGTGGATGACTCAGGACCTCCTGAGGGTGGCTGTAGGTAGCAGTGGGTCCCAGGAGCAGGGTGACAGGATGGGGACTGGACCCTTGCCTGCTGCATTGGCACTATTC